ATTAAAAGCTCCTACTAAGTGAAAAGAATTACAACTCCGTGAAGGAAGACATAGCTAGAGAATATATTTATCAGAGCAGAAGAGTTTGTGCTCACAGATATAGTTGTGAGGTTGGAATTTCACCCAACTTTATTGTGATCTGAGTTAGCTAGGAAAAGATCTAGACCTTTGACAAAAATTAAAAAAGAATAATAGTTGGGGCCTCGGTTGCAGATCTGAGCCAGAGAACATCAGTTTTCCTTAGCAGGTTCTGTAAATACCTGGGTTTTAAACCCAGAACAAAAGGAATAAGAAATGCAGCTAAAAAATGTTACAAACAAGGATTGGTTATTAAACCCAGGCTCATGTACCTGCTAGGCAGGAGGGTCCCTAGCCATTTTAATTTTTTAGACAAGGTATGGCTACTTTTGCTCAGGCTGGGCTGAAATTTGTGATCCTCTTGACTCTGCCCCCTGAGAAGCTGGGATTATATGCAGGAACCACTATGCATGGCTTGTAAAAACTCTTGGATATTCCTTGTCATACATGTTGGATTCTTAAGGTGCTATACCCCATTTTACATCCACATGTAGTGTAAAAATCCAAGAACTTAGTGATCTCTAAGTTATTTGCACTACTTCTGTAGGAAGCTGCCCTAATTAGGCCATTCTGTGAATGACTCTGGGGTTACCATTTAGAGCTCTTGGGCTTCTTTCTGATAAGCCATCTCTTGCCTATCTGCTGTTAAGATTCAACTCAGGCTCACCACCTGGAGGTAGCCACTGCTAAAGAGTGGACACAGATAATCACGCCTGTTTGGCAAGTTCAGCCTCTTCATGTTGAATTTAAAAAGCAGTATGTTCATTGTCAGTTCTGTAAGTAATCTATACATTATTTTCATGGAAGTAAAAGTAACCCATATTAACTCTAGTGTTATTTTCTTTTTCACTATTGTATAATGGATGGTGTGTAAAATGCGTCCCTTCCTCTGCCCTAGAACTTCACTTATTTACAGCACTTATGGGGTTAATAGACGTAATGGTATTTTTGTTGGTCAATACATCCTGCCCATTAGAATGAGTGTTTTTCTTAATTTTTAATACATGTTTATTGTAAACATATTGTATGTATGAGTTATAGTTACATGAGTAAGGTATGAGTACATTTCCTATGGAGCATTATTGCCTCCTCCTTTGTTTTTCCCTTCCCCTCCCTTCCCCTCTTCCCCTAGGCCAAAGTTGTAAAGTTCATTTTCAACATAGTGACTTGTACATCTCATTGTTACAATGGGTCAACCTGTATCCCTATTTAAGCATTTTGTTTTTTCCCTTCCCCTCCCCAAATTAGAAAAATGTATATACAAGATGCAGGGCACTGGAATCAAATACAGTGAGAATAAGGATTATACTGTGGGGGAAGAATATACAAAGAAACAAAAAAATCACATAGTACATTATAAATACATTAAAAGCAATAGTAAGCAAGAAGAAAAAAAAATTTGCGTCCCTATCTTGGGATTCATTTCGCTTAACATCATCTTATACGGTCACATGTACATAGCTTTTGAGCTTTTCTGCTCGTCCTAGACATGAGAATGAGTGTTTCATGAAGGAAGGAACTCTGTCTTGTGAATCCTTAAATGTCCACTATTGAGAGAGCAGGAATACATGGCCGCTTTCCCCATTTTAATTTCAATGACAGTGAAATAATAAGTAGTAAAATGACCAGGTCCTCTAAGTTTTCTCCAGGCTTCAAATCTTTCACTCAGAAATTGCTGAGGACTCTGTGGGTGTCCTCAGAGAGGACTTATTCAGAGAGGTTCCTTATGATGAAAAGAAAGTCGCTGTGCTTCTGAAACAGGTTGATGTTGAAGATGAAGAAGAGCCATACACATTAAATGTATGCATTCTAATCTGAATTTAGTATACAGACTTAGGTCTGTCTGACTTATTAGGATGATAAAATATTCTAATTTAGAGTACTCAACACTCAAACGGACTATGATTCCATAGTTAAGAGTTTTTAAAAAGGTTATAGCAATATGGAGGCGAAGTGCAACTTCAGTACATGATAAGATGAAATCCCAAAGGGTGCTACTCAAGATATATCCTGAGCCCTTTCCATCCAAGAACATTGTTGCAGTTTCCCTGTCCTATACAGAGCTGTGCTGCAGTGTGAAGACCAATTGACTTAGAAAAGGCACAATCATGAGATAATTCCACCCTGCCCCCTCCCCCCACACAGAGGTGACCAGGAACAAGCTTTCAGAAATGCCACCTAACTGAATTTTGCTTCTAGGGTCATACTTCATTCCATCCAGGGAATGTGGGATCTCAGAAATGAGGGGTCCTCCACACTGTATGACCTATCTTTTGGGATTCTCTTGAAATTCTTGGTTTCTGTGTCTTCTAAATAGAGGGTAAGGGCTAGCTTACCCTACTAGCTCACACTGTATTTTTACAAATTCGTAATGCACAATTCATTTAAGGGAGGAAAGGGACTTGGTGAAAATACTGAGGGCTATTCATGTCCAGAGCTCAGGTCCCCTCCCCCTATGCTACTGCACAGTAGGAAGAGGAGCTGCAGTGTGTTATACCAGTCCATTATGGGGGGCAGATAAAGCAATACTGTGTTCCAGATTTTCCATAGCAATTACTCTTGCAATGCATACACACACACACACTCATGTCTTTAACTTAACTACTTCAATCACTTTCCTGCTGCGTTTGAACAGTCAAGAAAAAATGGATAAAGAAAGTAAAGAATATACAGTGGGCTGAGGACGGCGAACAATTAATTTTGATTACAGCAACAAATCACAAGCCTCCCCTATCCTGTGCTCCCAGATTTCCCCTATGAACTTTTGGTGAAGTAGTTTCAGGCCCGTTGTCATGTAAATTAAAGATGTTTTGGGGGGGGAGAGAAAGATTTTGTAATGCTTTTGTAGCTATGAATTTTTTAAGCTCCTAGGAGCTAGCTCTGCCCTAATGAAAGACCCGTCTCTCACAAAAACGAAAGGTTTTTCCAAGCAGTTAACTTTACAAAGCATTACACGTTAAAATAGAAGAAAAAAAAATCAACTGATCTCTGCACTCCTGGCCCCCTCCCCACGGTCAGAGCCTTCAATGTGTGGATGGATCTGTAGGGATGACCAAAAAGAAGAAGAAGAAGAAGAAGAGAGAGAGAGAGAGAAATGGAGAAGAATCGAATCTGGTTCCAAGTGCTGTGGCCTGTTCTGCCCTACTGGCCAAGCAGAATAGATGGTGGAGGACCTTGGACGGCGGGGAAGGGGGTGGCTAGCGTGTCCTGTAATTACCGCGAGTGTAAGGTGGTAGCTGGCCCTTCGGAGGGCGTGTGGACGCCCACAGCACAGTGGCAGCAGAAGGAAAGAGCAGAAATAGCGCGCGCTCGCCCCGGCGGAACTCCGGGAGAGCCGGGGAAGCCAGGGCCTTGGGCAGGGGTTGGCTAGAGGCCGGATGCTGCTGCCTGCCGGAGGCTCCTGGGCGCCTTCCTTAATACAGAAGAGCTCCTCGCGGACCCCGGAAAATCGGAGCCGAGGAGGAGCGGAGCGGGCGGGAGAGGCGCGGAGGCCAGGCAGCCGAGCCGCGCACCCGGCTTTGACGTCGCCCGGCTGCGGCTAGCCCCAGCTCGCGCTCTCGGCACGTAGCGCACAACGTGACCACACACAGCCTTCCTCTCCGGCAGCGCGTCCGCCTGCGCTCGGCGTTCGCCGCTTCGCCCTCCGCTTTTCCTCCTTCTCCTCCTCCTCCTCCTCCCTCTCTGTTCCTCCCTTCCTTACGCCTCCGCGGTGCGCGCCCCCCGCGCAAACCCAGGGATTCCGGCCACCATCAGCGGGCCCCGGGCGCTTCAGCCGCCCAGTCCCAGCATCATCTCTGCCGCAGCAGCTCCGGGCCTTCCCCCCACCCCGCTCCTCCCGGCCCCCGAGCAGGAGGCCGCCCAGCTGGGTGCCCTCGCGCCGGGAGACTGATCTTCCGTTCACCTCTGGATGCCAGCACTTCGTTAACCCAGGCGGGGAACCCCTTCTGCGGCGGCTCCCTCCTCTATAAACTCCCGCCTGTCCCGGCCGCCCCCACCCCTTTCCACCTGGCGGGGGCGGCGCGGAAGCCCGGGGAGCACGCTTGGGGCCGGTGGGCACGCGTGGACGGACGTGTGTGCGGATCGCTTCTCGGCTGGGCATTTTTTCCCCCCTTCTCTGGCGAGTGACAGTGCCTGGATTCCGCTTGGGGCTCCCGGAATCGGGGCGGCTGGACTAGAGGCACCCTCTTGGCTGGCGGGGCGGCTGAAGGCTGTTTTGGAGACCCGCGGAGGTGTTGGCAGCGGCTGAGGCTGGTCGCCTGGGCGAGCTCCAGACGCACACTCCGCTCCCGGTTGGACCCCTCTCCACCTCCCTCTCCTCCTCTTCCTCTTCTCCCTTCCCCTTCTCCCCACCCCCGTTCCTCTCCCCCCCCACCCTTTTTCTCCCCCCCCCCCCCCCCCCCCGGCCCCACTCCTTCTCTCTTCCTCCTCTCCCGGCTCGGCGATGAGAGTCTGTGTCGTGTAACCAGGATTGGCGTTGCAATGGCAACTGATGGAATGGGGGAAGGCAAGACAGCCGGGCTGGGGGCTCCGGACTGCGGGCGGGCGGGCCGCTGCCGCCGCTTGACGCTCCTCTGGGGACCTTCGCGAGTTACTTTGTAAAAGGCGAACCCAGGCGAGCGAGCCCAGCTCGGTGCCTCAGGGTCAAGAGGCCACTTCCTGCTCCTCGGCTGGCCCAAGCCAGGCTCCCAAGCCAGCGCGCGCGCTGCCACCCCCTCCGGCCCCCTTGCCCGCTGCCAGCCCCGCGCCCCGCCGCTGCCGGCGCTGCGGAGCCCCGAGCCCCGCTGGGGCTGGCTTTTTCCTGAAGAACACTTCGCCTGGCCGCTGGCTTTGCCCATCACCGCTCCCCACCCCCCCCCCCCCTCCACCCCCTTGCTCCTCCCCGGCGTCTGCGATTCTCCCAGGCGCCCAGTTGTGAGTGTGGCGAGCGTGTGTGTGTGTGTGTGTGTGTGTGTCAGGGTATTGTGTAGTGTGTGTGCGTGTGTGCATGAGTGTGGGGTGTGTGTGGAGCTCCTGCGCTCCGCTCGCGGCCGCCACCGAGGAAGGACGGACAGACGGCGCTTCTGCCTCCGGCCAGCGGTTCTTTGGGCATCTCGGCTCGGCCCGGGCGCGAGTGGAGCGCGCCTGGCTGGCCGCTGGCCTCCGGAAGGTCCCACTGCGTCCCCCCCTGGGCTGGATATGTTCATGTTCACGTGAAGATGGATTTAGTGTACGGTCTCGTGTGGCTGCTGACAGTCCTGCTGGAGGGGATCTCTGGCCAAGGAGTGTACGGTGAGTGCAATCGCGATCGCTATCGTGACCTTGTGATTCTTAGGCAAGATAGGCTGGGTGAGCTAAAAATGAACGAGTCGCGCCATTCCGGGGCGGGGGGGGGGGCCCTCCCGGCGTGGCATTTTGATTTACACTTGATCACGTTATTGGGAGCGTTAAGGAGGCAGGGAGCGCGCTGCGGATTGGGCTGAGAGCGGCTCCGGAGGCGCCTCGGCTGGGGGCTCCGTAGAGTTGGGGTTTAGCCCACAGCATCTCACTCTTGCGAACCGAGTGGCTTTGCACTTGATTTCTCCTCGCGGGGGAACACGAGCTCTTAGCAGTCTGGGCTCCTTTCGTGCCGCGGTGTCGGTGCCGCGGTATCCCTGTTTGGGAAGCCTGGAATGTGACACCCCCCCCCCCGTCATTCTCCTCACTCCCCCCCCCCCCCCACAATCCTCCTCCTTTCAACCCCCTTTTTCCTCCACTGTGAATGCTTACATGACTTGATTTTCTGGTTCAGGAAGTGGGGTGACAGTTGAGTTGCGTTTTGCACCAGCCGTTGCCATGAGCACTGACTTGGGGATGGGAATAGCAGGCAAAGATTCTCCCTCCGTGCCAGACACAATTAAGGGACGTGTTTGTGTGAATGGATGAGCAAATGCATGAATGAACGGACGACCAAATCCGTGTGTGGGCTCCGGGGCAGGACACCACTCGCTGCAAAGGGAAAGCAATCCCTGCTCTTACTGGAAAACCCAGATCCGTGAGACTCGGGCGCCAGAGAGGAGTGAGCTTATTAATTGAAAGATTTTTTTTTTTTGGAAGTCCTCACAAGCAAATCCATGTTCCCTTTCCTGTCTGCAGTTGGCACTCTTGGTGTTAGGCATTCACACACACACACACACACACACACACACACACACACACACACACACACACACAGTAATAGAGTAATAGTGGGGTTGGAATGGAAGCCCATCACGACCTGTCCTTCCTGGGGTGAGCAGGCATTGCCACAAAAAAAAAAACACCCCAAAACAAAAACAAAAAACCAACTTCTGTGTTTTCAAGATGTGTTTGGAGGTGAAGGTTATGGGGCACCACAGAGGGAACAGCATGCAAACACTCACCCAACAGCACCCTGACTCTTTCCTGAACCCTTTCCCTTACTCTCCATGAAATGTGTGCCAGAAATCCAATCCACATTGTCTTTAGGCTCACTCTGTGATTAGGACCCGCAGGGCAAGATCCGTGGCTGCTCTGAGACTGGGAGCATGAGTAATTTGGAGGTCTCCAAGCATCAGTCCTTGCAAACCTACAACGGACTCTTGCAAACCTACAACGGACTCTACAGTGCTCATGGGTAGCAGTGGATCTTGAGTCCTCAAACTCTCTGGAGAAAGTGTAGCACATAGTGGGCAGATGTTTGAGGATGAACGTTTGATCTAGCCTTTGCTCTACTGTGGGTTCTGCCCAGGGGTGAACAGTGCTGGGAACCTAAAGCAGAGATCTCAGGTCCCTCCAATTCTCTGCCTGCCACTCCCCTCTCTCCTATCTTATATCCTCATCTTGGGTCAGGAAACCTTCATTTCCCCCCCCCCCCCCCAATCTCTGCATCATATCTTCCTATCCCAATGAAAGCAACTTGGCTGGTGGCAGCTGAGACTTCAACACCAGGGCACCAAAGGTGGTGGGTGTGGGTTGGGTGGTGCAGGAGACAGATGCTGGGTTTTTAGAAAGCTTGACTGGCAGCAGGAGGTGGGGGCTGAGGAGAGCAAAATGAGTGCTCTTGTGACTCTGCTGGACTAGCTTGTTCCTGAGCAGCTGAGAGGATTCCAGGCATGAAGACTGCTGGAGATAAAGCTTTCTCAGAGGGCTGTTTTTCAGGCTGGGGCAGTCTGGATTCCTCTAATCCCATGTCTATGTTAGTGCTTCTTTCTAACTGGTTCAGGTTATCCCAGCTAAAAATAAGTTTATGTTTTATAAAATTGTGTGTGTGTGTGTGTGTGTGTGTGTGTGTGTGTGTGTGTGTGTGTGTGTGTGTGATGAGAAGCGAGAAGATTATGAGAAGTAAGACGGAGTAGCAGGTCCGTGGAATGCTGGAACTATAGGATTAAGAAAGGAATAGCTCCTATTACTTTTGGTCATTCAGATTATTTGTCTGAGCAATTCTCCTGTTGAGCAGTGAGAATAAGGTAAGGGATAGCATGGAAGATTAGCAGGAATCAATTACAGTAATTAACATAACCCTATGCTCCTGTCCCTCATCAATGAAGAAGAAGGCCATTCCACTACTGATGATGCAGTTGATGGGCTTTGTTTTGGTTTCATCTAGATGTGGCTGTTAGTAAGTGGCTTAGGATATTGGCTTTTCTGTGAAAATATTAATCAGCATTTCTGGCCCTAGCAAATGTCACAGGTATGAGGTGGGTGAAAATAAAATATTTATATATTTTCAAACCTGTTTTACATTGCAGGAGTTAGGTTGTCAAAGTGTGCCTCCAGTCTTCAGCTCAGTACTAGGGTAGAACTTGTTAGCATTGCCGGCCCTGGGGCCTCTTCTAGAGTTTGTATATCAGAAACTCAGGAGTATGGAATTCAATAGTCCCTCACCATCACCTCAGTGATGATTATTGTGATACAGGCTAAAGTGTGGGAACCATTTACAAAGTTTATTGCCTTTGCTTTGTAAATTATGGCATTTTTTAACCTACAGCAGTTTTATTTTTGTTTCTTGAAGAATTTATACAGAAGATAACAGTGTATTTTTATTTAATTAAAATATTGATTAACTGTATTTAGTGTAATGTTTCGAAGCATATTTTGAACATTTTACATGAGAAAATTTGAAAGGATTAACTTAGAAGGCAAGGGAATGTTAAACAGAATTGTCATAATTTGCCCAATATGAAAGTTTATATTGCTATATCCCTTTGTTTGCTAGATGTAAACCCATTCGTTCTACAAATTGTTATTTATTAATGATTTATCTTCTGTTAACTGGGTCCAAGGGAAAATAAGGTAATTCAAGCAATCTGTTTTCTTTTCTAGTTCCTGGATCAAAAATACTATTTTAGCATAAAATTCAGATTTTAATTTTTGGTAAGTTGTAGGGTACTTGTTTTAATACATGGATAACTTTGCCTTGGATGATATAATCTTATTTCTATTACATCAGCTTGACAACTCTGAACCTCACTTAAAGGTAAATGTTTCTTTTACATGCCTAGGAAGCAGTTGTCGTTTATTTTAGATATTGCTTAGGAAAAGATCTCTTTAGTGGCTAATATTTATATTATATGACAGGAGATTGGCCCTTAACTGCCTACCTACCCTTTCCTAATAATTCTGATGTCCTTAAAAATCATTTTAAGTGGAACTTATTCTTATATTACTTGCATATTTCGTATCTCATTTGATAGTACAGTACTACAAGTCATTTGAAAACATTTTTTTCGTACTACAGTAGCATGAAATATTATGGACTTCTCAGTTTTTTAGTGGATTTTTTGTATATTTTTAATGTGTCACTTTGTTAAGCAATAGATTCTATCTTCTTAAAATTTTAGTAATTGCATAAATTTATTCCCCTCGTAGTTCTTCAATGTTTTATTTGACTTTTCCTTAAGTACCGGTGAAAACCCAAAATTCGTTAACAGGCCAGGTGAAAAACGAAGTAAAACTTAAAGTCTGGATAGTTTTAGTGGAATTCAGTGAGTCACTTTGTGCCCTGAAATAGTTAATGCACTGCCCCCAAAGAGCTTCCAGGATGTGTAAGGAGCAATAAATAGAGTAAGTTCATCAAACACACGTATTTCACACATTAGCAAGCTATGTTAACTCAATTCAAGTAATATCAGTAAATCTCATCCACTTGGAACATGACACCCTAGCAGGAGCCAAACAGAAATGACTTGGTAGAATTGAGAACAAGGAGATAACTGAGACATGAAGTTTCTGGAAGAAATTTTAGACTGTCAGTGGTTGCATCTTATAGACAGATTGATCCAAAAGGACAAGGCTGATATTGATATTGAAGGTTAGCCACCATAAGAGACAAACCCAGGATATTACATCTTCATAGCAAAGTGATCTCAGGGCAGATTGATTGGAGTTTTGCCCAGTTTGGGTTTAGGGAGGCTTTATGAAATACTGCTTTAGACTGAACTGTATTCAGGTTGTCAGCCTGTAAAAAGAAGAGAAGATAACTTCAGTAAGTGTTGCTAAAATTAATCTGAAGCTCTATTCCATACATTCAGCTGTAACCTCTCTTCCCAATGCTCACCTTTCTCTCCCTGTGGACACATGAGCCTTCTGTTTTACACTCTTGTATTGCTACATCAGCACCATCAATAAAGAAAAATGTCTGTGCTAGGGCTACCCATTGTATTTGGGGATTATTTTTTATTCAGGTAAATTGGTTTCCACTGGTTGTGTTACTGAGATTTCACAAACTAAATGGATAGATTATTTATACGGTATTACTTTGCTTTCTTGTCTTAGAAGTACATGAGCCAGTACTTAATTGACTAATATACATTTCAGATTGGACAGATTATACATCAAGGTGAAGGATTTTTTAAAAAAGCGTGAGTTTATGTAGTGATAGTGTTTAGACAATTAGGAGTCACAGGAAAAGGTTCAGAGATTTGTAGTTCTGGTACACAGCACAAAAGGATTTCTAGGAAGGTGCTTTTCATTATCTTGATTTCTTTGCTTAATTGTATTGTCTCTGATCTTGACTCATACTGATTTCATACATGATGCTTGTTGTTTTATAGTGGTGGATCATCTTAAACTTCTCTTGAGGAAGAATATGACAAACTATCTAGAAGTAGTATGCTTTGAATTCTTTTACGATTGTTTTCCTCTTTTGGTAGGACTCATGGGGATGCAATTCCTGCATCAGAGCAGGAAACTTATGACTTTAGTATAGGTCTTACTAAGACAATGATGGAAACTTGGTCTTGGGTCCCATTCCAAGTAAGGAATGTGATTTACCTTTCATCTTTGCTGCCTTC